CAAATAACCTTATTTTGTGTAGGTACGACGTAAGCTTAATAATTATTTATTTGTTATACTACCAAATGAAAATGAGGGTCTCGTTTCGGAATGTGTGCAATATATGACCATTGTTATTTCCAAGAGTTTATTTGACTCCAAATTTGGATCCATTATAAGTCTTAGTATGAGTAAGCTATTTCGAATTTTATGTACAAGTAAAGTTGTTTACGCAATAAATGACACCGCACTATTTTAAAAAATAAAACAATATTTGGTACATACTCAAAGAAAATAAACACGGAATTCGAAAACATTATAATTGGTACAGTAAATTTAAAAAAACAAAAAATTATTACGGCGGCGACATTTTAAACGATTTTATCCTGTTATTGTTATATTGTTGTAACTAGTAATAGAAAGGAAATAAATGAGAAGTAAACCCTTTTAGTGTTGAGCTTATTTTCACATATTTTATAGAGATTGCTAAAGGTATTTTGTTAAAATGTACCTTCCAAAAACATTAACTTAAAAACAATACAAAAATCAATGCTAAATTCACAGAAAAATATATTTTAAATGGGTTATATTTCAATGTTATTAACTTATTAAAAACGTTATACATGGGCGCTAAGACACGTCCGTACAGTTCAATACCTAATACCCACAATCAAACTGCGCAAGCAGTCAATATTCCGACGCTCCACACTTTTATACGCGTTAATATAGAGTCGATCTATCGACGGTAGGCGCTCGAATAGTTAAATCATAGAAACGTTGGGAACAGTGTTTACAACTCACAGAAGGTTTCGCATTTGTCATCAGTGTGCTTAGTGCGAGTTTTTTAACGTTCTCGTAAAAGAGCGTAGCGTAAAAGTTAACCCAATTTTGCATGCAGTTGGAACAGCGCCCCTAGCGGCAAACGTATGCAAACGATCCCATTCCATACAAACAAGAGCTACATTTACGCTATCGAGATCGTTAAAAAACTCGCACTAAGCACACTGAATGTACCTATATTATCTTCAGTGTTACTGTGATCCGTTCACATCATCGTCATTAAAAGTCGTCATAGTAAAGCCATCCTTTAATTAACACCACTGAGTTCGGCCTTCGTTAATAATATAGTTACTGGTAAAATAGAGCAAAAGGACACAGTGCCAAACGCATCATGACATTCAACTCAGCTCTCCGCACGCAAAGTGGTAAAATCAGTAGTACGTATAAACTTTAAAAAAAACTGGCGACTTAAAATAAAAGGTTTTTTTTTATTACTTAGATGGGTGGATGAACTGACAAGCCATCTGGTGTTAAGCAGTTACTGGAGCCCATAGACATTTACAACGTAAATGCGCCACCCACCTTGAGATGTAAGTTCTAAGGTCTCAGTATAGTTACAACGGCTGCCCCACCCTTCAAGCCGAAACGCATTACTGCTTCACGGCAGAAATAGGCAGGGTGGTGGTACTTACACGTGCGGCGTTAAGGCGAATAATATAACAGTACTACCAAAGTGTTTAGATAAACATTATTTACATTGAGTGAGGTTATAAATTATTCAAGAGGTCAATGAACGCACGCTGAGCCAAAAATACATGATTAAACATTAAAGGTCTAAATGTAGCCGTACTTAAAAAGAAATTGCTTACAAGTGTGAACGCGCTCTTGGACCACCTGCTGTTAAGTGGTTACTAGAGCTCATAGATATCAACAATGTAACTGTTTCCATTAAACTTGCGATATAAGTTCTCTGAATCTAATTTTATTTTACTAGAACAGATAGACAACGATAATTTGCGATATTAATGTTACTAGATCGGGTAGATAATGATAATTCGCGATAAAGAAATATAAGCTCAATATTCAATACACTAAAGACTATAACTGTTTTTTTTTTATTGCTTAGATTGGTGGACGAGCTCACAGCCCACCTGGTGTTAAGTGGTTACTGGAGCCCATGGACATCTACAACGTAAGTGCGCCACCCACCTTGAGATATAAGTTCTAAGATCTCAGTATAGTTACAACGGCTGCCCCGCCCTTCAAACCGAAACGCATTACTGCTTCACGGCAAAAATAGGCAGGGGGTGGTACCTACCCGCGCGGACTCACAAGAGGTCCTACCACCAGTAATTACGCAAATTATAATTTTGCGGGTTTCACTTTTATTACATTTATATTTAAATTAAATACAATACATCGGTAATCGATTTTAACCAATTTTATTTCGATTGTTATCGCCACTATTGATTCTGTTTTTATCCGCGCATACTTTAGATTAGATTTCGCGAATCCAATTACCCCAATGAACAATTACAGTGGTACGGTCGGCGTTTATTATTATTGGACAATTTTTATTACACTATTTTAATGATATGACATGATATAATAATGATATTTAATATTCTGATTCAACAAAGGTTATATTGTAATAATATATCGATAATAAATTTTAATAATCGGTTAAAAAGTTTCCGATATCATTTCTATCTAGCGGTAGGCAGCGGCTTGGCTCTGCCCCTGGCATTGCTGAAGTCCATGGGCGACGGTAACCACTCACCATCAGGTGGGCCGTATACTCGTCTGCCTACAAAGGCAATAAAAAAAAAAATTAGATTCGCCGGATCTGCTAACTTCAAACTCCAAAACTCGCAAAAGCATTTAAACAATCAAACAATTAATCTTATATTGTATCAATCACAAATCTAGCTATATCATAGATGTTAAACAAAATGACAGATACGTTACTTTTCTCATATTTATTTTGTCGTGACTAAACTGTGATTGTTAAGAATATTAATTAGGTTTTACTCCATAGGCGGCATCGCCCAACGATTTCGAACCACACAGATAAGATGTCGCAGCCAAATGCATAAAAGAATGTTAAATTTAATTATGAAAACTTACACGTGTAGGAGCGATATGTAATATAATGTGACATAAGGACTCACATGTGAGTTTACTGGTGGTAGGACCTCATGTGAGTTCGCACGGGTAGGTACCACCACCCCGCCTATTTCTGCCGTGAAGCAGTAATAATGCATTTCGGCTTGAAGGGTGGGGCAGCCGTTGTAACTATACTGAGACCTTAGAACTTATATCTCAAGGTGGGTGGCGCATTTGCGTTGTAAATGTCTATGGGCTCCAGTAACCACTTAACACCAGGTGGGCTGTGAGCTCGTCCACCCATCTAAGCAATAAAAAATAAAAATGTAAATTCTCTAGGCAGAGGATATTCGTTGGTGACTATTTTTACGTACCAACCGTTCTACGAATTGACTTGTGGTTCAATGAACAAAGAGTGGCACAAGCGACTCTATCTACCAAGAAAATGTACACATGCTTAGTGAATTACAAATCTAACGCAGATAAAACCGCTGGCCATGTCTATTAAATACACACTAGATGATGACCTAGATTTGCTCGTTTTTTTTTTTTATAACGCCATCTTGTTTTGTCTTTAAAGCGGTTAGTTGCCCTCAATTAAGAAAAATAGTATTACTATTCGCCAAAAGATGTCGGGAAGAGTCATAAAGTTGATTATCGATAAAGTTGATTATTGAAAACACGAATAAAACAACATTTTCTGAAAATAAATCGTAGCTAGAATCACCCCCGAAATCCCCTGTATACTAAATTTTATGAAAATCGTTGGAGCCGTTTCCGAGATTCAGATTATATCTATATATTAATACGTGAAGCAAAAACTTTGTATCCCTTTTTACGAAAATTGCGCGGACGGAGGAGTATGAAATTTTCCACACTTATAGAGAATATAGAGAAGAAGTGCACAATGCTAATTTTTTTTTTAAAAGAATGCATATAAGGTACATTAAATTAATAAAGAAAACATTACACACACTACATACCATGTATTTGACGCACACACGCATGCATACTATTTATGTCAAACTTTTGGTCTTGACGTCTGTTGTCAAATTGAGAATATAATATGGTTTGTCTTAGTTAATATTTTATAGTGTAGTCTTGCCGAAATTTGTGATTATAGTAGTATAAAATAATAGTGTACAAACTTACAATTCCCATTAATTATAGTCGAATTTCGACTACTGCGGGACCTCTAGTATATATTAATATACAAGAATTGCTCGTTTAAAGGTATAAGATTTGTACAATTTTTGAGTTTATTGTTTAAATTCGAGCTTAATTCAGTATAAGGGAGTATTTATATGATTCTCCATTGACTATCAGTTGACAATCACAATCGCTCGTCTTGTAAGGAACTAAAGGTGTGGGAAAGTCCCTTAGTTGTTTCCAATATAATCAATAAATTTTTTTGAGAGAGATCTCAAAAAAATTTCTCATTGATTTTCAATATTACCAAACAAAAATATCTGCCCTGGCGAACTAGATCACATCGAGGGGTGAAAGGTCATTTGCGCGAAATTTTTGAAACTTTAGAGAGCCATTTAAAGTATAAACATTGGAAAAAAATTCATGAAAAAAAAAGCTTCTTCGTCTATTTGAATGGTGTAATAATTGAAGTGCGATTAAAAACATCGAATTGTTGATCCTAATCTATATATATAAAAATGAATTGCTGTTCGTTAGTCTCGCTAAAACTCGAGAACGGCTGGACCGATTTGGCTAATTTTGGTCTTGAATTATTTGTGGAAGTCCAGAGACGGTTTAAAAGGTAGATAAATATGAAAATTCTCGGAATTAAATAAAGTTTAGGTCTTTTATTTATCGATTGAGGCACTACGAAGTTTGCCGGGTCAGCTAGTACCAAATAAAACGGACCTTTAATTATAAAGATAAATATCGCGTATCAGGCGAAATGTCCCTTAAACCAAATAGCCGTTCACTTCTCGATATGAAATCACTTTCTTTTCCACTAGAAACATAATACAGTCGTTTCTTGTTGATTTTCTTGCTAAATCTTTAACCGGTCGAGTCTGTGTCTTACTTCAAAGATAATTCACTACGAATCCATACATTAACAAAATCGCGCAAATCTAGTAACGCAAGAGCAAAATCTACACAACTTCTAAACGTACCATAATACAAACTTCGGTGCTTAACGAGTCTCCGTCTCTTGCTTTGTTTCTTCAAGAACTTCCTCACATTATCCATAACTCAAAAACTATATACAGTAAAAACAAAACGGACGATCCGTCTCAAACAGCGAATGCACATGAATGAGGAAGATACGTGCCAAACGAATCTCATATATTATTTGGCCAATTATAAAATGACAGACAGTTGCATAATGAAAAATTAGGGGGGACGTCGCCTTAATATAAATAGTATTGAGAAATTTGTTTACATTCAACACAATTAATAACCGCAAATAGAAAACCGCGAATGAGAGAGAGAGAGAGAACATATTTTATTGCAACAATTAACATCAGAAAACAGTCAACAAGCAGACACGTTTGTACAATAGGCGGTCTTATCGCTAAAAGCGATTTCTTCCAGACAACCGTTTATTTACCCGAAATTCTGGACAGATAAAGATACAACAAGTACGTTGTACTATTAATACACATTAGTGAATCATAATGATGAACAATCTCTGGCACTGTTTTGCTTAATTAATTTTTGGGACAGGTGTTCGGTCTGTGCTGTCAGTAAAAGATAGCTTTCGTGGGTCATATGATTCTCTTAAAGCACGAAGAAATATATGTATGTATAACTATATAAGCCTCTGGGTCTGCGGAGGGAGTTCGGTTCCCTCTGTATTTTGTACCGCATGTTGAATGGGGAGTGCTTTGAGGAATTGTTATATATAATTATATCGCACCGCCCGCCACCGGAGTAGAGTTCATCCATACTACCTGGAGCCACTACGGTCATCCACAGTGCGTTTCCAGAGATCTTTTTTGCCACGTACCATCCGGCTATGGAATGAGCTCCCCTCCACGGTGTTTCCCGAGCGCTACGACATGTCCTTCTTCAAACGAGGCTTGTGGAGAGTATTAAGCGGTAGGCAGCGGCTTGGCTCTGCCCCTGACATTGCTGAAGTCCATGGGCGACGGTAACCACTCACCATCAGGTGGGCCGTATGCTCGTCTGCCTACAAAGGGAATAAAAAAAAATCGCCGAGAACGATGGCAAAATAACCAGTTCAACAACTGGTACTAAAACCCTTGGGACTTTTACTAATAAACAAAGTTGTTATTTGTTTTAATCTTTCAAGCCATAATACGTTAAACGCTATGATTTAACGGGTAAACTGGTAATCATGGCGTTTACAACAGCGCCCTTTAACTACCAAAGCAGCAAAAGTGAAAATCGCGGTTTAAAAACCTGTTAATTCAATAATAGCGTTGTAGATTGTTTTAGACTTTGGCAGCTATCTACTATTATTATACGATTTTCACATTTTATGGATTTTTTTTCCTACCTATGCTGATAGCCTTGAGAGGCTATTTCAGCTTCGCCCTAACATGTAGGTGAGCTCACCGGGCTCAAACCGGAGTGTTGCTAACACTGGTCCTAGTAAGAGCAGTGCTTCGCAGAATCTACCACCGGATCGGAAACGCGACCCACTGAGAAGATCCGGCGAGAAACTCAGTGGGCTGTGTCTGTACCTAAGTCGATAGCCTTGAGAGGATATTTCAGCGATTATGGGTTTGATAACTAAACATCGGTTCTACGTTTATTACTATTCTACGCCTATTTCCGCCGTGAAGCAGTAATCCGTTTCGGTTCGAAGGGTGGGGTAGCCGTTGTAACTATACTGAGACCTTAGAACTTATATCTCGAGGTGGGTGGCGCATTTACGTTGTAGATGTCTATGGGCTCCAGTAACCACTTAACATCAGGTGGGCTGTGAGCTCGTCCATTCATCTAAGCAATAAAAAAAAATAAAAAAAATAAAAAAACGTAAGTATTCACGTGCCACTCATTCTAATTTAAACCAAAACTTTCTGTGTCAAATGTGTCTTTCTGTGTCTGTGTGACTGTACCAAGTTTCGTTGCAATGAGACGAACGGCTTAGGAACGCGCATAGGACAAACAAACATACAAAAGAACAATATTATTGATTTGTATTTAAGCCTTGAGCAATCGTAAACAAATATACATTGTCAGATACAACGCCAACGTTAGCGTGGTATGGACATGTGATGCGTAGAGAGAAGATGCATGTTTGTACTAGGAGATGTATGGAAATGGTAGTGCAAGGTAGATGGGGAAGAGGTCGACCGATGAAGACATGGATGGAGTGTGTGAATGACGATATGAGATAGAGAGGAGTGAGTGTTGAAATGACGACTGATAGAAAAGAATGCAAGAGAAAAATTAGCTGTGCCGACCCCACCTAGTGGGATAAGGTGGAGAAAAAGAAGAACACTTATTAATTTCGCTTTAAGCTATAACAACGAACTCCTCTCTAAGCTCTTTAACTACATCGTACAAATCGTCTTCTCGCATTAAAACTGTACTAGAGGTCCCGCAGTAGTCGAAATTCGACTATAATTTATTGGAATTGTAAGTTTGTACACTATTATGATTGTATTTTATACTTCTATAATCACAAATTTCGCCAAGACTACATTATAAAAAATATTATCAAAGACAAACAATATTTAATCTCAATTTGACAACAGACGTCAAGAACAAAAGTTTGACAATGAATAGTACGCATGTGTGTGTGCGTCAAATACATGGTATGTAGTGTGTGTAAGGTTTTCTTTATTGATTTAATGTATCTTTTATGCATTATTTAAAAAAAATATTAGCATTGTGCACTTCTTCTCTATATTCTCTATAAGTGTGGAAAATTTCATACTCCTCCGTCCGCGCAATTTTCGTAAAAAGGGATACAAAGTTTTTGCTTCACGTATTAATATATAGATAATCTCAAAACCTACTAATTTTACAGGAGAGTGTTTTAAAGGTTTAACATGTAATATTTTTAATATTAATCATATATGCAACATTAATATTTTATTTTGTGTGCGAGTGCGTTTCGATTCCGTGACGTGAAATTGTTTTTGTTTTGAGTTCATCAACGGTTTGTCGAACAACATATTTACTATGTTATTAATAAAACGAACTGTGTATGTTCTAATGTAAATAATGATACACTCGTATTTCAGTACAGAGATGTGGGCTCCGGTGACCACTTAACACCGGTTTTGGCCGTGTGTTCGTACACACATCTAAGTAATACAACAAAAAACACATGCAACCTCCACGATGAAAACATTCTTCTTTTTCTCCACCTTATCCCACTAGGTGGGGTCGGCACAGCTAATTTGTCTCTTCCATTCTCTACTATCAGCCGTCATCTCAACACTCAGTCCTCTCTCTCTCTCATATCGTCATTCACACACTCCATCCATGTCTTCTTCGGTCGACCTCTTCCCCCTCTACCTTGCACTACGATTTCCATACATCTCCTAGTCACATGCATCTTCTCTCTACGCATCACATGTCCATACCACGCTAACCGTCCGCTCCTTAATTTGTTGTTTACCGGGGCCACTTTCACACTTCCTCTAATATACTCATTCTTTATCTTATCCATTCTTGTCACTCCACACATCCATCTCAACATTCGCATCTCTGCCGCGTGCACTCCTCTTTCATGCTTAACTTGAAATGCTTAACTTAACACGATGAAAACATTAAATTAAAAAATATGGTATCATATTATTATACGTATTTACACAACGCGATCGATGCAGAACGCGAACAAAGTTGACAGTATTACTCGCATAATAATTTATAAAACAAATTTCATGGTCAATTCTTATTTGGTATATTTAGCATAGCGATAATCATTTCGTAAAATTCCATTCTTCTTTGACTAGTGGTAGGGCTTATAGTAAATTCGGATGGGATATGTATCACCTTCTTTTTTCTCGCTAATCGTTGGTAGGCTAAGGGGCTTTTTTTCTACAGAAGGAAATCGCCGGATCGCCTAAAAACTCCTGCCCCTCACAGCCGGCGCCCTACCCCGGACCGGGCCGGAGCCCAGTCGGGGCTATTGAGACGGCGGGACAGGGTTGACGCAGAGCATATCACATCCGTCCCGCTGTCAGCCCAAGGGGTTATTCCAACTATGCGCGGAATGGTAGGTGATCTCAGAGGTTTAACTTGAGAAAATTGCTAACACTAGCCCTAGCAAGAGCAGTGCTTCGCTGCATCTAATACAGTATCGGAATCGCGACCCACTGAGAAGATCCGGCGAGAAACTCAATGGGTTGTGTCTATAGACTAGTTCACACGTCGAACCCTTAGTCCGAGTCGACGAGTTCGCCAAGGAGGATGTATCACCCATCTTATACGTTCCTGTCGCGAAGCAGTCTTGCGTTTCAATTTGGAGGGTGGAACACCCGTTATACAAATGAGACTTGGAATCTTGCTCACCATTAATGTAAGCAATAAAAGAATCGACTAATCATTATTTTTGCAGACGCAAAACTACCAGTTACGAAATGAGACGACAGAGAATACAACTGTCTTTTTCGGTCACGATAACAAACTTGGCTAAAGAAAGAACGTAAAAGCAGTGAGTGCCAACTACGGCAGACATCGGAATAAAAAAAAAGAGAAGGTTATTTTTAAACAAGTCTTGCGCGGTATTCACGTTTGTCACGAGATCTCGAACAACGATGCCAACAATGAGACAATTACTGTCATCAAGTCGACGCACGCCTGATAAATGCGATGCATTCAAAACAACACCGTGCCAGAACGACATTGACATCTGATGCACTCGGCACGCCTACTTCAAAGGACGCCGTCCTCGTCGAACTTGCCGATTACGACGAGCAAACTAACCTATAAACACAACCCGCTGAGTTTCTCGACGGATCTTCTCAGTGGGTCGCGATTCCGACCGGTGGTAATTCTGCGAAACGCTGTTCTTCCTAGGACTAGTATTAGCAAACTATCGGAGATTGGACTCCTGAGCTGACATGCCCGTCAGCACGTTTTTTTTTTATTGCTTAGATGGATGGACGAGCTCACAGCCCACCTGGTGTTAAGTGGTTACTGGAGCCCATAGATATCCACAACGTAAATGCGCCACCCACCTTGAGATATAAGTTCTAAGGTCTCTAGTTAGTTACAACGGCTGCCCCACCCTTCAAACCGAAACGCATTACTGCTTCACGGCAGAAATAGGCAGGGTGGTGGTACCCACCCGCGCAGACTCACAAGAGATCCTACCACCAGTATAATAGTTGGA